GTGAGACGTTCCACCTGACAACATGCCTGTAACCTAGAAGCTTATTTACCGGCCTAGGGCACAGCAGCCTCTCCAGTGGAAGAGATGAGCTACGCCTCTGGGCGGCAGCAGCTGCCGAGATCACGCGCAGGTTCCAAGGAAGAGACGCGAGAGCAGTCTGGCACCAAGCCGACACGGCCAAGTTAGCGGACTTAGTGAACATTGCAATGAAAAGTTCAGATTGCATCGAACGGGCAGAACTCTCCCAAATACAGAGCCGCGTTGAAATCAGAACAGAATCAGTGCCAACATCAAAATGCAAAAACCTGTCATTTTTTTTCTCATAAAAAAATGCATATATACTCAGTTTTACCTGTGTCAGTCAGCCAGCTTGTAACATTCACCGTTAATGACACCTTTGTGCCTGGAATGATAGGATGTCAACACAAAAAAATTCACTAAATTAATTCTCACGGCACGCACAGAATGGCGGTGCTGTAGTGCTTAGTCATATTGGGGGAATAAAGTATTCTACTGATTCTAGTTGAATTCCATAAAGTATGTGAAACGTTCCTGAAGAAAACGTCCAATGAATCACATCACATGCAAATAAATGCTCAAGCACTTAAGTGAGATTAAGGTGTACAGTGGTAGATAACCTGGTTAAATGTCAGCACCAGTGTGTTGCCTTAACCTGTCCGAGTCACAGCACAAAGGTTGTTGGAGCTTGAGTTATGTTTACTCAAGGATAAAGTTCATTTAGGGTCGGTTTAACTCACACACACGCAGACAAGGAAAGGAACATCGCATCTGCCAACGACTGACATTAAAAACACTTTTTTTTGCAGAGAGTTGGAACAAACTTGTTGTCACCAACAAGCAAAGGCACATGCATCAAAATCTGAGTGGGGGATACGAAAGACGTGATTTTGCTAAGCTCAGGAGGGGTGTCTGTTTAACGAGTAGGCAGATAATGAGTGGGGGCGTGGTTTAGGTGGAAATAGGGGCGGGGATAGTGTGGGGCTCCGCCTCCAGCTCAAAGGTGACATTGAGAAAGGAGGCTGAGCCTCCTGGCTGCTCTGTTGCGGCCTCCTGGCCTCCTTGTTGCTGCTGCTCGTCGAATCTGCGCTCGGCCTCCTCTGACATACGGTTCTCCTCCTCTTCCTCTTCCTCCTGTGGTGACAGTCAAAAGCAAAGAGCCGAGTCAGCACATTCCAGCATGCTCCTGTCATGAGCTTCGAAAGGCCCTCTCATGCAGATCCATTGGGACTGGCGTACCTCCTTCTTCATCCTGTAGTACTCGTCGATGGCGTACTGGTACTTGGGTGAGGTGATGCCAAAGAGCGAGGCCATCCTTTCTCCAAGGTAGTCACACGCTGGACACCCAGAGAAAACCCGGCTATGTTAGGAAACTTGAAACATCATAGTTACGGAACACTGATTTTCAGTCATGTCCGTCACACTTCCTGATTTAACTAACCACTGTGACTAAACCATCTGGGCAGCCTTTCTGAGTTCCCAGTGGGAGAGAGCATGGAAACTTGCAAGACTCGCTCCTTCCAGAATGTCATCTTAAACGGTGTTTCTCAACCCAGCCCTCGGGGACCTCCAGGCAATCCACATTTTTGCTCCCTCCCGAGTTCCAACTCCCAGCACACCTGTACCAGGTACGGTAAAACCTCAGATCGGGAGCATAATTCGTTCCGGGAACGTGCTTGTAATCCAAAGCACTCGCATATCAAAGTGAATTTTCCCATTAGAAATAATGGAAACTCAGATGATTCGTTCCACAACCCAAAAATATTCATTAAAAAATTATTAATACAAAATATAAAGTAAAAATACATAAAACAAATTAACCTGCACTTTACCTGAAAATAATCGTGGATGGTGTGAGGGAGATGAGAGAGAGGAGAAGAGGAGGGTTATTTTGTAGGACGACTTTCACTACAACAGGGCTAGACATAAGTCGCGGCACCGCGGCCAATGGCCGTCGTGCCTTTCAAAATTGGCCGCACGCCTCGTCAAAATTGAAGTACCTTACGGCCAAGATTGGCCTGCCTTTAATGTTAGTCTGGTCGTATGCCCCCTTTTTACCGAAAGTAACGTTCATTACACAAAAGACTTGCGCACGACACGGTCCACTTTACCTCGTCAACAATCGATGCATCTGTACTGAACCCGAACCCAACCTTCGATACGAGAAACGAGGTCGACCCGCACATCTCGTAATTCCCAACTACTGAATGAACCGCAATGAATTCTGGACTAATACGATCATGTACATGTTCGTCGCATGATTGGCTGGTACGGTATGTATCGTCCAGCCTACTATGGAGCCACAGCAATGACAATGGTGCATCATCGGGGGTTACGTTTTTTGATTGGAAAAGCCATCCGACGGTTTCCGAATAACAGATAGGTGTCCTATTCGGTAATCATCGTGTAGTTGTCGTCTGCTGCTTATGCTGTCACCATGCCTCGCAAAGATTGAGAACGTAAAAGAAAGCAAGCTGAACTCGCGGCTACTGCCGCAAAATGTTGCAAATTATCTACTTCGTTCAGGTAAGTGTCAGATGGTGTTGTAAAAAAACATTTGCCGAGGCAGAGCAGATTTGACTCAGAGAAGTACCAAGCTCTGCTGGGAGGATATAGGACTGGTAGCGTGCAGTGTGCAAAAAACGAACGTCAAGTCAATTGTCATGTACACTAAAAGAATACGGGTGTTCTGAGCAAACAAATACAAAAATATTGATGGCTCCTTTATTGTTGGATTTTGTTTTTTTGAAATAAAGCTATATATATCTATAAATATATATATTCTGTCTCAAATCGAAGGTCGTATTGCGTAGGTTGTCTAAACTTGGTAATTACAGTAATTGGTAATTAGTGACTCAGTATTGACCCAATTCCTTTTTGGGAAGTTTCTGCTTTTTTGAAAATAAAAAAGTGCATCCTTTATGGAAGTAAAATTCCTCCACAAGGCCCGAGGTGTCCTATGAAATTTCCAGATTTTGGCCTTGTGCCCAGGCTTAATGGCCTTGTGCCCTAGAAAAAATATGAATAGCCAAGGCCAAAGTGGCTGTGCCCTCCTAAATCCTTATGTCTAGCCCTGCTACAACTAACGAAATCACTGCTATCTGTTGGCTCACTGGAATCTTTTTCTTTTTGTGCGACTTTAACAAGGAACCTATCCAATGACAGCCACTTTTGCCTCCTTTTCGATTTCTCGGAAATGTGGACATTGCATTGTCGTTAAACAGATTCATCGCTTGCACTGCTACGCCCTTATTCGGGTGGTGCTTGTCTACTAAATTTTGACTATATGAGTGAGGCACGCCGACTGAGACCGAGCATGGGAAAGGATTACCCACAATCCCGCAGCGAGAGAGAGAAGAACAATCGGCTCAGTTGCGATTACGTGACACTAGGCAGACAAAGCATATAATACACGTATTACAAGACCTCACTCGTTTATCAAGTTAAAATGTATTTAAAAGTTTTGCTCGTCTTGCAAACCACTTGCAAACCAAGTTACTCGCAATCGGAGGTTTGACTGTATTCAGTATTCAAGATTATTAGATTTTTTTAGTTCAGGTATGCTGGGAGCAGGGAAGGTGCAAAACTGTAGACTGTCTAACTCTTCTAACTCTTTTTTTATAATTTCAATCACATTATAAAGCTGGTCACTTGGCCCAGTTAGCAGCCTCTCCACAACTCACCCGAGAGTGTGGACGTAGCAACTCTCCACATGTAGAACCAGAAGTATGGACCCCATGTCAGCTTGGACTGTAAGGCAAATGAGCGATTATAACGAGTGACAGAAGGAGTGTGTGTGTCTCTTTTATATTTTACCACCAGCCCCCCCTGGCAACTCACAGGCTCCACTGGTGGTGGCAGCTCCTTTTTCACCTGCTCCTCATCCTCCTCTTCATCTGTGCTGTACTCCTCCATGGTCTCCCCGCTTGCAAAGTGGATGATCCGCCGTGGGACCTTCTGCTTCTGCTGTGCCCCTTTCCCCATCTCGCCAAGCTCCACACGCTCAAAGTCCTTCGCAGGGCCTGGGCTCTGTCAGGGAACAACAGGAAGACTTTGCTGAATGGGACTGACAGGCTAGCCACAACAGCAGCCTCCTTGTTTCAGACACACTTTCTATCATGTCCATAACAATAGGTGCTGTGGGGAGTGACAACATGGATTGAAAGCTAACTGTTTAATGAGAGCTCAGTTACTGGGTCATTAACACGTTTTGTCTTACAATATATTTCATTTTCCACGCACTGTTTAATAAAAACCATTATGACAAATAGTCATATACTTAATATTACAGTACTGTAAATAGCTGGATTACCCACATCTTTAAGTGACTGTGGATACTGTAAGATCAATGAGAAGCAGACTTAAAACCCGATCATAATTTTAAAAGAATTTCCACGACAACCATTTTTGATGTAATACGTACAGATAAAATTATTAAGAAATATATAATTGAAAGCCTCATGTAAGCTTGCATAAAGCACAAACCTATAAACGTAAAACTCTGCATAACGGTTATACTGCCTGTTGTTCAATCAATGGTGACCTTTCAGTGATTAAGCAATGCAACTAATAAATACCCACTGATCCGATTAACACTGTAAATACTCGGTACATTCCTGTTTCACTGCCCATACGGTCAGCTGACAACCTAGTTTCCTGTAACGGCAGTCGCATTTACCAGCAAAACCGCAGCCTGCCTACCGTTATCAATACACCCGCACCTCTATAAATCTATTTTCGTGATTATAAAATGCTGGGAAATTACTACCTTCTCAGCCTCCATGGTCTGGCCCAGGGACACGTTAACGTTGGCAAGATAAAGAGACAACTCCGCCATCTCCGCTTGCTCGTACTCTACGGCGTATTGTCAGTGTTGCCACTCTGTGCCTCAGCGCGGACCACATGCGGATGCGGAAGTGACGTCACGCCGAGCCCCGCCCAGGAGTTTTAACTCTTTACACAATTCATTTTAATAAGCGTCTCAATGGAAATCTAAGATGCCAGATTGTCTACTTTGGTCAGCTAGCTGGCGTGAGATTTTCAATTCGAGAAAAGTCTGCAAACTCATTTACATGTATGTAACAGTTTTATTACATTGTAAATAGTCTTTAAGGTTTGCAAACTACCCCAACACTTAATATAACTAATTTTAGGTTTTCAATGGAATAATATACATTTGCCATAGATTTCTTGCGTGAGCCTAAGTCAGAAAGCATGACCCTGAAGATGTAATTTATTTGTCCCTGTACAAGCTACATAGGAATTATTTGATTACACATTTTGAATATAACAGTCTTTCTTTAAATAACTTAAGTTTTTGGGTTAGAGCACAGCTTGAAGTGCCCCTGCAGCAGTCGGGGAGCTAGGGATGGGCTCATAAGGGGCGATACCACTGTGACTGTTTTTCTGTTCGATCCAATTTTATCCAGTACCAAGGCTGCTATCACTGATACCGATCCCGAAATTCTAGTCTTTTGTATGAATTAAATGGCAAATAGTGCTGAACCATATAAAACAGCGCAATATTTGATATTGCGATATTTATGATGCAAAAAAGTAGTAAAGAAATTTACCCAAGATAAACTATAGTCAAACGGAACTCATGTACCAAGAATGTCAAATAAGTTTGTGTTGTTGCTGGGAGTTTTGTTAGCGGACACAAAGCAATGCCTACAAAGTAGGGTTTGGCGTTATGGCAAAAATATCATATCAGTTTTTTTTCAGGCATGGTTACAATCTTACCGCATTTTTTTTCGTGTAGGTTAAGACTACATTAAAAGTTACCGAACTGTACAACCAAATTAATTTCACTATTTAAAAAACCGTTAAAGTTAAGTTAGCAATACCTAAGAGAAGCTACTAGGGAATATACGGTATTGCATGCTGGGACAAGGCGGGAAAGTGAGAGAGGAGGAACGCGCTGTCCACTATATTAAAATCCCGTTAAGGTGGACTCGCTTATAACGGAATTTCGTCTATACTGGTCCAGGTGTTCCGGGCAATTCGGTTTCCCCTGTCTATCAGGAAATAATGTTTCCCCTGATATTAAAGCAAAGAGGTATGTGAAATGTCTGAAAATCACTCAGGTACATTATTACATGTGAATACTGTATTGTTATTAGTACCGAGGCCCATAGTTGCTGTATAGGCTACCTGTTTTAACAGGGGGGATCCAAATATCCTGGATGTCAGGAAATAATGTTTCTCCTAATATTTAGGCAAATATGTATGTGAGATGTCTGAAAATCACTCAGGTACATTATTACATGTGAATACTGTAGATCATCATGCATAATATAGTCATAAGCAATACTATACTGTTTTTATCAAGAAATATTGCTATCCAGCTAATTAAATACTTTCATTTATTATCTGTAAAAACAAAAAACATCGAAAAGGCAAGTGATGTTTTAAACTAGTATATAGCTTGTTTACCTCAAGAGCTTCATAAAAAGACATGAAAACAACAGCGAAACCGTGTACAAATCAGCGCGCCACAGAGGAAACATAGGGAAACGGCGCACCTTTAAAACATGCAGAAAAAGCATTGGATATAGTGGACTCGCATTTAACGGAATTTCGTGTACTGTATAAACGGACAAACAATTCGTTCCCCAGGGCCGCTTTTAGCTGTAGTTTTGTTCGACTGTAATGGACATGCAGCTCCACCTACAAGACCTGTGGCGTGCCGGTGTTCTGAAATTTTGGCATTCTTTGCCAGAATAGCATACCGGTAGTGCAAATTGATAGCTATGTCTATCGGTTTAGGCTATTTTATCAAAACAACATACCTACGAATGGTATTACGTTCTGGTAGGTTCATTTACGCTGACAGAATGGCATACCAATAGTATAACACACTGGTATGGTGTTCTGATAGGTACATTTACGCTGACAGAATGACATACCTATAGTATAACACAGTGGTATGGTGTCCTGATAGGTACATTTACGCTGACAGAATGACATACCTATAGTACACAGTGGTCTGGTGTTCTGATAGACATTTACGCTGACAGAATGACATACCTATAGTATAACACAGTGTTATACTATAACTATATGGTGTTCTGATAGGTACATTTACACTGACAGAATGACATACCTATAGTACACAGTGGTATGGTGTTCTGATAGGTACATTTAAACTGACAGAATGACATCTATAGTATGGTGTTCTGATAGGATGACATACCTATGACAGAATGACATACCTATAGTATGGTGTTCTGATAGGTACATTTATGCTGACAGAATGACATACCTATAGTACACAGTGGTATGGTGTTCTGATAGGTACATTTACGCTGACAGAATGACATACCTATAGTACACAGTACAAAACAACTTGTCTCTCTGTAAAGGCTGGTTGTAGACATTTTAATCGTTCACGATATAATACCCTCAGTGTCATGCCCCGATCGTCCGCTCCTCTCGTCCAGCTGTTCCCAATCGTTGTCATTAGTTCTTTGTATTTAGTCCGCATTTTCGTTTGTTTTCCCAGTACGGTCATTGTAATGTCATCCCGTGTGTTGCCTGCTCCTTGTGTTGCTGCTCTTATTAAACCCAGTGTTTGCCCCGACTTTGGCTTCCTGCGCCTTTTCTGCGCTTCGTGCGTCGCTGTGCAGAACACTCAGATTATTTACATACACTTGAAGACATGCATTTCTGTGATCAGTTCGCTTTTCTACTCCTTCACTAAGTTTTGTTACATTTTTCACATAGTTGACTAGCAAGGACGATAATTAGTATGAATGGCTTGGAGTGCAGAGCTTCTGCAGAAGCAGCGGAAGAAAACTTTAGACTTATTTTGAAGCTCATTATAATAGCAAAGTTTGCTAAGTTTTGTTTACTAATACGGAAAAAAAACATTTGTTACTGTTTCAACCCAGCTGTCTATCACAGTCCTCGTGATATGCAAGACATAATTAGTACATCAGTGTACTTTGCAGAGTAACCTGTAGCCAAAGTACTTCCAGTACTTTGACAAACATTACATTTTGCTTAGATACTGTCTTGTGGAGCATTGGCATCTGTAGGTCCATGTCAGAATTGATTCCTGTCTTGCCTCCTTCAATCAGTAATCTTTCCGCCTTGCTGTCCTGTCTCCCAGGTCTGTTCTGTCCATAATAGTGTGTTTCCCTGCTCTCTAGGCTGCCGTGTGGCTTAATGGGCTAAGTTAGTGACTGAGAGCCGAGCTCCCATACTGTCATGGATATAATGGTTATGTTGAGTTTTTGGTTTATCACCTTGCTAGTTCCTGTATTCATGTTATTTCTGTATTGATTCTTGTTTTGTATGCCATTTCGGGTTATCCTTGTGTGTAGCTATAGTTTTGTGTTTCACCTATGTTCTCTATCTCTTGTGTTGCCCAAGCCCCTCGTGTTTGTTTGTGATTACCCTCACCTGTTCCTCGTTGCCCCTAGTCACTTTTTGTCGTTGATTAACAAAGGTCTGGTGCACGCTATAGTTAAAGCCCTCATTATCATGTGTATTTAAATGCCTGCCCTTACTCAGTTTCTGAGTTGGCCATTGTCCTTGTTCCTGTGCTGTTGTTTGTTCCTATATTAGGTTTTTTTTTAATACACCTGCCAGTGTTTGTACACTAATTGTTTCTTTATTTTTTTTTCTCCAGACATGGATTATCTGTCATTCTGCCATGCACCGCCGTAGCAGTCCAATCACTCGTCACCATGTAGCCCTGAGTATTTTTGCCCTGAAAATTGATGTGTTATAGCAAAACAACAGAGCAGAACTTGACACAAAAATGTTAGACATACACACCCAGATGATAGCTTCCGGTTTTAAAAAGCAGTCTAGTCTTTATGGCCATTTCAAGAAGAAAACTTAAGGCAAATCATTGAATGTGGCTATTACACAATGCAATGAATTATGCTAATGCCAGAAAAACATTTATTGATGTGAATATATACCAACCGAAGCTATATAGTTCCTACATCAATAATTAGCCTATAGTCCACGGATGGTCAGATCTGTCAATGAAAATCTCTTTCATACACATGCATGTAGGCTATGCATGTATTTTTAATATCCATATAATTTTGTGTTGTCCAGAGACCACAAAGAGCCAGGACAGGCAGTGATTGTTATGATGAGCTGCTGCAGTCAGCTGAGCCAGGATCCAATGGATAAAATTTCAGCCTTTTTTCTTTTGTAAATATTGCAGTCTCACTCGTGGAAATTTCACATATCGTGATATAATAAGCAGCTCTAGTAACTTGTGGAAAGTTGAAATTTTGTGTGTTATTTTTTACGTTGCAGATCAGTAAGGAAGGTCACAAGAAGAGACAAACACAGGCTGTATGGAGGCATATGACTTAGGAGCATTAGATACTGGATCTAAACAAGTCAGCCATCATGTCTATCCATTGACTAGCCTTGGGAAACAGAAGATGATACTTTCAGCGACGATGGTTTAAGTCCAGAGGTGATCCATGGTTATATTGCAGTGAATAAATTGTGCTATTATGGAATAAGCAGTGCTATAGCTGTGTGTGTAAGAATGCAAATTAAATGAACCATGTTTGCACCTTTTCACCACCAGGGCAACAGCCATGAGGGAAAAGAGACTGAGGTGAACTGTAATAAATTTAACATGTGCAAAGATGAGTAGTGCATGCATCAATAGTAAAGTTAAGTAGCCTAATAACTTTTGAATGTGTGTGTGTGTGATAATATTTATTAATTATAAAGGTACATATAACCACCCCAATCTACTGATACTGATCTTTCTTCAAAAAAAAGAAAAGATAAGCCCCAGGCAAACTTGACTTAGTCCTTGATCTTTTCAATAGGTAGAAACGCCCCTGTTGTGGAGTAAATTAACTCCATACGAAGAAGCTGTTTCTTTCTGCTGGTTCAGTCCCCTGCTCTCAGCCAACTGCACCTTCCTCCTCCTTGTGTGGAATCGTAGTTCTAGTCTGGAGCAGAAAGCGCAGGCAGAAGGAACACTTCTTCTCAGTACCTATCCCTGTCATTAACCAACGCATGAGTGTAGTTCCTATCCAAACACCGACATTTAGGTTCTGGTAGAGATTAATGTCATACTCTCCATAATATAAACATGCACAACACTTTGCAAGCTCAGGCACCCATATTTCTCGTACTACTCTCGGTGAAGACACCAATGTCTAATTAAGTTCATGGTGTTGAATGCTTCAGCAGATGGTCCTCCACAAGCTATTTCTTTTGTACATATGTTGCAAATTTCAGATCTTTCATCTTTAATAGATATCTGGTAGAACTGCCCAACTGGAGATGACAGTAGAAGCCTCTGAAACTTCATGTACATATTTTAAATCATCAATGCACATATTGTACGTCATCTGCAAAATCGGTATCTGAGATTGATCAAATTAAAGGCTGCCAATTGAGTAATTAATGCTGGCCTTACACCAGCTTTTCAAGTGATTTTACTGATGCAGACAAATTTCTGATATTGGAATAAAATCGTGAGAGTTTTGTTAGTTGTGGCACGCTCCCGTCATCTCGATGGTTTGGTGTAAGCTGGTCAGGATAGCTGTCATAAGTCAGTTTTTTCTCATCTTGATGATCCAGTAAAATCAGCCGTGTTTGATTTTAATCATAGGTGTCTAGTCTTGGCTCATGCAAGTAGCGACATGGATATTGTCAATATCCAATATGCGAGCTCTCTGCAGCACCAAACAGGAAGCAGCATAGCAAGTACACATTATTGCAGTCCAAAAAACAATGAAATGCGTAATATGTAAAATTATGAAATCCGTTCACGTATCTTGGGTTGTGTCCACACTCTGTGGCGTCTTCTTTTTTGCTGATGTATTACATCAAACCCTTGCGCACACAAGAACAGCTGCGACTAAAAGCTGCTTTCGTTTCTGCTCCATCGTTTAACAGTTTTTCTCCTCCTGTAAATTTCCACCAGGAGCAGATTTGGAAATAATCTTAAAGAAATCCAGCTGCAGTCTTGCAAATAGTGACCCTGGAAGATCCCCAGTTTTTGCAGAATCCTAATCTGTGACAAAGAACTCTGTGTCTCTAGATGTGAGGGGGTGTCAGACTTTAGTCTTTAAAAAGTCATTTCAAAGTCTTCTAGTATATGTTTAGTATAAGACTGAAAATTGGCTTCCAATCGGCTACCAATTGAGCGGAGCACCTCTAGTAACGTGTAGTACGAAGATTTGCTTCATTAAGTCTAACTAACCAAATAGCCTTGTAGAGGTTTTACATGTAAAAACTTGGAGGTGGTCCCTGCTTGGTAGAAATATTGATGAGATTCCCTCCCTCCTAGTTATTTTTTATACCATTTACCAAACACATCGATAGTGTTTAAGCCATTTATACACAATTGTGTTGTTTACATTGAGTATCCTTGGCATTTTATAGAATTTGAATTGTATCAGCAGACAGACATTCCTGATCACTCAGCGATCCCCAGTTCGTGCTGAACTACTGCCCAATTAAATCCAATTATTTTGGATTTAATTTTAAATGATGGAGGAGGTAAGTTTGCAATTTACACCTTAATATTTCTATTAACCTCTCTGATTAGAATATCCATCAAATATATGATACAACAGTGATTACGGAAGATGAGTGAGTCATCAGCCTGAATTTTCATATATGTTTCCAAAATGTGCGTGTCTTGTTACAGATGAACAGGCTTCCACGTGGAAGCAGTAGAAAGGCCAGGAAGAAAGTGGAATCCTAAATGCTGTGGTTCTTCCTGATCTTCAGCCTTTCCCTCAAATCACCCAGGTACCCAGCAATGGAGAGACTTTGGGAGGCTAGAAGGATGGAGCCAGAGAGGGTCCACAGGCACGGCATGAAGGAGTGTCAGGTGATGTACTGCTTTGTCGTGGAACCCAAGCTGCTCTATCCCTCCGGCCGGGCTCAGCCCTACTCCCTCAGTTTGCGCCGCAGGGTAAAGCAGCGCCTGTGAGTGGCATTCTCCTGCCCAAAATTTACAGAATTGGCAGGAGTGAAAAATACAGTTGACATGGCGCAGACCTTCACCACCCAGGGCCTGAGGAGCTACGACCCCCAAATTGAGTTGGACATCAGTGGCGAACCCCTGAGCCTCCAAGGAAAAAAGTGAGCTATTAGTCCCTCCTTAATGTATATAGTGTCTATATGTAAATAAATGTGTGTGTGTTTTTAAAATTAAATATGTGTGCACCTGTGTTCACATCTATAAGACTAGATGTTGAAATGATCCCCGCATGGATATCAGTTAACCACTGCTTGTTGACACATTTGTGAAATGTCACATTTTACAGATCGTCCCTTGGCAGTTCTTGGGTTTTTTTTTTTTTTTTAGTTGGACTTCAGCCTATCTCAGCAGTAAAAGCACATTTCCAACAACCCGAATAGATTTATTATTGCAGAATATTTCTCTTAATGGACACAGGTAATGTTTAAAACCTAATGGTTAACTCAGAAAGCTGGTGCAGATTCCATTAGGGCGGCTCAACAGCGGATGACCGTGCATTCACATTTTGGTTAAAACGGAAATTTTATGGTGCATTCCATTTGAACTGGGAAGTCTACATTTTCAACCGGAACACCTGCTGAAGTCTCGGTTCCAACTCAGAAAGTCAGAAGAACCTCTACAACCCTGACCTCGGAATTCCAGATGGCTGTGCCTTTCATCAGCAGAAGTGAAAGCTGTATCTATATACTGTTTATAAGCACTTGTATGTATTTGTGACTCATTACATCCATTGTACAGTTAACTCAGATGACGTCATTCCCAACTCTGATTTCTGACCTCTGAGGTAAATGGAACACAGCATTAGTCCAGGGTTCCCCAGTTCTGCACCTGGGGGGCTAGTCTGCAAAACTCAACCACAATCTTATTTAGCTAATCAGCTAATTGCCAGGATTAGTGAGTCTGTTTGAGGAGGGGAATCTGCAGACTTTGTTGCAGACTAGCTCCAGGACTTGAATTGGGGTCCCTGCTTTTCTCTAAATTAAATAATAATAATAGAAAGGTGTGCTATATATTTCAACGATGCCCAAAATTCACCATGAAGTGCAGGAAGATACCAGGTAAGAAATCAATAAATTCTCAGAATTAAACATTCATATTGAAAGATTTTAAATTCTGGTGCCATGCTCAAGGGGCCAACGTTGACATGGTTACTCTGCTTGGTCATGGGTTTCAAAGTCACAGCTTTACAGAGTCTCTCACAGATCCCTAACAGCCTGAGCTATGCATCCCCCCTACTGTTATGTCAATGTGTAATATAGATATACTACTTCTTCATCGGTCCTTCTTGGTGGTGGCTGCGGTGGTGGTGGTGGTGGGGGGGTCTCCCCATCTGTGAGTTTTAGGTTTATCATTGCCCGCTCACCGTGGCCTGTTGCACGGCCCCATAACAGAAGTAGACAGCGATTGGCTGACGGGAAGATGTTTTGAACAGGTGTAAGCAGCAGATGCGATGTGCGCTAAGGGATTTCGGGGAATAACTGGTATGGTCAGGTAGGCAAAGGAAGCCTGCTGACAGCGCGGACGTGTCCGGAGGCACGGATGCAGTTTTGGTATCTCGTCGTACACTTTCTATTGCATTTTGTGCATCTAACCACTTTCCCTCGGAATCTAAACTGTACCAGACATATCAGTTTATGATGTTTTCAAAGCAATGTCGCCATATCTAAGGTTCTAGCCCCAGTAATGCAATTAATTACATTAGTAGTGCATGCACTGAATCAGCAAGATTACTGTTTCGCCATAGGCACTTCATCACACTATCTACTATTATCCATAGTTTTAAAATTTAAAGCATATTTGAACCTTTGAATTTGACTGGAGACAGCATTCAGTTTCAGGGAGTTGCTGAAACCTGCATTTGTTAGAAAATCTGCTTTCCAGCATATAGCACATGAGCTACTGATATCAACGTAAAAGCTGACAAATCAAGATTGCAGTGTGTGTACGCTTTCTGCCTTAGAATTAGCTTCAGCTAATACTACAAAAGTATTCACTTAACGTTAGGGATCACCAGAATCGCTAGTCAGATTCCTCCAATCATTATTTGAATAATATTCGATTAACCCTATTCCACCCCATCCCCTCTACACACGTGGAGAAACATCTATGGAGTCAATATATTTCCATACAAAATGATATTTGTTGCTGCAAAAGGACAACCTAAAACATTAAAACGCAGCTTCAATAAATTAATTGAAAGTGATATTAGATTAAACTGAAGAGAGCTCAAGTGTGTTATAATACAATAATGTTTAATAGCCTGTGCCTTGGTTGGTTAGGCCTACTGCTAAAGGTGATTTTTTTTTAAACACAATCCTAACAATACTTCTCTGGCTTATAGGCTGCCATTAATTTATTTCCTTACAAAAAATTAGATATATATAACAAAAATGCAAAAAGGAGCTGTAAATATTTATGATACTTTTTATGAAAATGTAAAAAAAGGAGTTGGAAATTTACCTTCATGATACCTTCATATTCATAATGCATTCATATAACATTCATTAGCAGCATGTACAGTAAGTATACCATAACATCCTAACTACCTTAACGGCTTTAATATACATTAATAAGAAACATTATGTTGTCATGCATTTATAATGAGATTGATGTCCACAGGCTTGTAGGGGAGAAGTGCCTCAGCCTCAGACCTACCCTGGACACCAACTCCACCCATGTCAGGTGGACCCAGTACTTCTGTGGGGAGACATACTACTCAAACTGTTTTCTACTTCCCAGTGTTCCTATCCCCCCCCCCCCCCCATACCAAGCATTAGATTATAATCATTTGAGTCTGTATCTCCGGCTTTTTGGCTAATGCATCTGGATTGCTTTAAGGTGATGAAGAGCCTGTTCTTGGCCAGTCTGCATGGCATACAAACCTAGCTCCCAGCACCAAAGCTGTTTGTTTCTCTGCTGGTTTGTGTTCATTAGAGCTCACTGACCGACTTTGATTCCTGAATGGCTTGTGTTTGTGTAAACTTATTCAGTAGGTGCTCAGTTTGCCTTTTGGCTGTGGCTTTGATCTGTCTGATCATTGTTATTGACTCATTTTAATTACTGAACTAATTGTTTCCTTGTTACTTACTTGTTCCCAACGGTTGTCTGTAGTGAGCGTGCCAGCGTGCTGTGGCTGGTCTGAAGACTGACCCACCAGTGCCCCTAGGCTGGGTTTCTTGTTCCTCAATGCACCCCTGCACCCTGTAGTGGTCAGGGTGGGAGAACTTCATTAGACTGTTTCCTCATGTTCTAGCTAGCAGACTTAATTTTAATTGGCAGCCCTATTGATTCTATGACCATACCTTTGCATTTGCCCTTGTTTCTACATCATTTTGTATCTGTTGTGCACATTTATGTTTGATGCATGCTTTCAGTGCTCTGTAATATTGCCCTCTATAATCCAGATGTGCATGTCTTACAAATTCCTGTGAAGTAACATTGTGTCTCCTGAATTTTAAGTTTTGAGTTGTTCTATGCGAGAGGGTAGAGAGGCACATCGATGACACGTGACATTTCCTGGCTTTTTGACATCCTTTTTGCATCTACTGTAATGTAGTTTCTCTCAATTGTTTTGAGTTACATGCAGTACAGGGAGTCCGTACGATGGTAGTTTTTAAATTTTTCAAATTTAAATTTTAAAATCTTCTGAACAGTTCAAATGTGCAAAGGTAGTGTGTGTTTCCCATTGAAAACAAAAGCATGCAAAGGCCTTTATGTGCGTGAAATGCTGTTTGAGGTTTGTATTTTGGCCAACCCGAAAAATATATTCTAGTCATGGGGAAAATGAGAAAGGCAGGGATTGGGATGGACATTTCCCCAAGTTGAGCACAAATTAAAATGGTGAGTTACACTTAGCAACACATGATAAGATATAGAGCCGGGAGGATGATGAACAGCCGTTAGAAACTGTTGACAAGTTTCTACTCAGATGGTGTTTGTTTAAAAAAACAGACAGCATCTGCATTTCTGGTAGGCGACGCCCAAGTGTGGAGCACACAGACTGTACTGCAGCGGACATTCTGGCACTTTCTGTTCTGGTTACAGTTAGGGACTTTTTTATGTTTTGATGATCAGGATAAACAGAAACGCACGCATACTCAGCTATTTGTGCGCGAAAGCCAGTTGTTCAGCATCTTGCTGAAACTAGCTTCCGTTGCCACCAGTGTCAGCTGTCAAACAAAATTCCAGTCATATAATCTAAAACATGACAGGGGCTGGAGTGATAGCCAGATGCCTAATTTAAAGTGGTCTGTATGCATCTTCTTAGAGCTCAGCAAAAAGCTTTAGGGCTCTCAAAATTGATTTCATGTATCCTTTATAATTATGATTATGATGAATGTGAAAGACACCTTTTCATGAATCAAATCATTATTTTATTACCTTTTGTTTTTGGCCTGGTTTCTAGAAAATGTGACCTGAAATCACAGCTGTGTCTCTGCCCTGATTCCAGACTCCTTAATGTCCCCCACAAGAGCCCTGCACCAAGGTCCCCGGCACCGCAGCTGGTTAATCGATCAGAAATCCTTTTCTTTTTCGTCGTATTCTGCTCTTGGAAGACTGAGGTTATGTTCCGGAAGGCTGCGCCTCCTCGGAGGTGTAGGTGAGGATTTACAGTAAGCTGAGTTACAGTTCACTGGGCTCCTACCCATTGCTATAAGCTCATTTTATTCACAATCACATGTCTTCTTTATATTTCTCCAGTCTCATCCGTCAGTTTTAGCAGAACAATTAGGCTTGGTCTTTTCAAAGAATTATACTCAGAATATCTAAGAAATTACTAGTTCACTGTTGCGGTTCTGGGTATGCGCACTGGCATTGATGGCTCAGCTGAAGTGTTAGTGTTCGTCTTTTATATGCAGAATGTGGTCCAGGTGGAGTACGGGCACTGCAGAAACCTGAGAGCCATCATACCGACAGACAGTTAGATATTTGCTAGACAGGGGTTTGTGGCTGGCTGAGGATATTAGACTGGAAAGTTTGTGAAACCGGTGTGAATTCACCATCACATTTATGAACTGGCCAGGTGTGGCGAGATACTGGCACTTTCTGGTGATTATGTGGCATGGACTGAGAAATGAAGTTGACAGATCCTGGTTCACCAGGAAAGAATTTCCTATGGTGCTATGCAATATTGTGATATTGCTTGGTTTTCTCCCCGGAATCTTTACGGTTCTAACTGGAAATTGTCTTAACCCAGCAAACCAGCCTGTCACTGTAGTTTCCATAGACATTTCCCATATTTTATCTTGTGCAACATTTTGTTTACATTCTGGCAATTATATGTATGTAATTTATTCCAGATTTACAGACAGACATTTGTGAGGCCCCTGGATAAAGGATTAAAGTTGCTTTCATATTTGGTTATATTCACATAAAGCATTGACGTAAACTTTCAAAATAAGCCAAAATTAAGTTAAGTTTCTCTGACAATAAGATTTTGCAACAATAGTGACCTTAGCAATAGGCATTCCGTGAGATGTAACAGCATCGGTGAAATATGATTGCATTATATAAACCTTTTTCACAGTTTCGTGACTTATTTTATTGAGTAGTTAAAATTTTCAGCCAGTCTCCTTCCTACCACTTATCTGGTACATGGTCACTGTCAGCCTGGAGCCTAGCTTAGGAGGTACAGGGTACAAGGCAGGATAGACATGTTGGAGAGGAGGCCGGCCCATTGCAGGGCACACAGACACGCGCACTCACACGAAGCAATATGGAGATACTAGTTCATTTAACCTCATGTTTTATGGACTGCAAGAGGAAACCCAAGCAACACTGGGACTACACGCAATCCACACACACACACACACACACACACACACAGAGCAGAGGTAGGACAGAGGTGTAAGGCAGCTGCTACCCACTGAACTGACAGTTCATGCAGGGGCGCCGTAAGGGGGAGGAAAGCTAGGACGATTCCAAGGGCCCCTGAGTGACAGGGGCCCTAAAAAATTAGGAAAATAACTGGATTGGTTTGGACTGGGGGGCCTAATATGATATGCTTTCATGGGGCCCAAAATCTCTAGCAACGCCCCTGAGTTCATGTATGTATATTAAAATATGTAAATGACCTTTAGGTACAAAAACCACCACATTACACACCAATGACTTAATACATGCAAAAATGAAATTAATTGTTTAATGCAGAAAATGTATATTTGTAATAGGCTAGGATATTTCTTTTTCGGGTTTGTTGGGGAGATCAGTAGCATGGTGATTAATAATGCAGACCTGACATCTTGTGGTTTAATTCGCGTATAAGCTATGCTATTGGACCACTGAGTGAAGTACATTACATGAAGTACTACTGGAAAATTCACAGCGTGTCTAAGGTGTCTTGGTAAAACTCTAAGCTAAGAAATGACAGCTTGTTACTTTATGACCCAAACAAAATGTTTCCTATTCGAGAATGTCTTTTATTTAAATGAGAGTTTAATTAATTGGTGTTGTCTGTTTGCATGGTCAGAGAGTAGCCTCAGTAGATTGTCTCATCTCCTCACGGTTGAAATCCAACTTTATCTCAGTCTACATAGGGTTTCTATGCAGGGTTTCCATGTTCCTTCTACAATCCGGAGGCCGATGTCTCCAAAATGCCTTTTTGCAGGAATGGGTGTGCGGTTGTTCCATGAAATAGCTTAAATCTGAATCTGAAAATAAACATACGGGGCCTGTCTGCTGTTTTTGGAAATAGTTCAGCTTGTCAGTGTATTGGTTGTAAGACTTTGACTAGATCCATGCAGCATGGAACGGGTGCATTATGGTTTGCGGTTCCGACCGGGGGAGGCAAACAAACACAGAAAGCAGCCGTTTCTGTTTGAGAAAATAGGTAACAGGCAGGGAAGCCAAGAGGGATGTTGGGTCTACAGATGGGACCACAAGACATGGACTTGTAGCCTGTCTGCGGGCGACAGGCAAACAGAAGGCTGTTTCATGTTACTGTAGATTGTCAACAGGTGAATGAAAGGTCCTTTCACCTGACATTCCCCACCCGGGACATTAATTCCTTCCCTTCACCACCGGATCCATGCTGGGAAGAGTCCCAGCCAGCAGCGAACCTTGCCCTTTCCCCAGGTACGACCCCAGTTATGATTGTTCTGCAGATCTGCCCTGCCTTACTGGGTGGGTATTTCTGTGGGTGTGTCTTTGTGTTCCTGATCCCACCCACCATTACGTCAGCATTCCTCTCCTTCCCGATTGGCTGATTCTCAGTTTACTACTTCCTTTGAAAGTCCTGCCAAACACTGAAGTGGGAGACGATTCAATCTGACATTGAATTTGTCTGTTTTTCTTATTGTAAACTACTTCTTATGCCTAGCCCTGTTAGATCTTTTCTGCGAATCCCTTGTTTCAGCTATATTAAATATTGTATGCATTGCGGGTAGCTGGGCGGAAGGGAGAGCAACACCATTAGTTTGTTTTGTTTCTTCTCTCTGTTTATGTGTAGATAGGGAGTTAGGGAAGTTTTATGTGTTTTTATTTCACTTGTTGGATATATTAGCAGTGTTTGTCTTTGTTATTTTGGCCTGGTCAGCTCCTAAAGCTTAATCAATAAATTAAAGAGACAAGGGAGTGGCTCAGTGCACTTTTTTTGTTGCTCCTCACGCAAGACTGCAACATAATGCCCGGCAGGGATAGTGTGTACAGGCCAGGTTTATGGAACCCAAATGCCGATTATCTTCCACTGGCCCATAAAATGAAGGAATGTGATACATTGTTACATCTATTTTTCAATGTTTAGTGTGAAGTTGACATAAAACCCTAAAAACTTGGTTTCTTCCACTGTTATTTTTCACATAAATGTTTCTTCCCCTTATTTATAAGAAATGGAACCAACATGCATACTGTATATACTTACGAGCCATAAGCTCATCTCTCAGTATTGTTGCTAAATGTCCAAATTATCTATTAAAAACAATTAAGAAGGAGAAATACTGAATGTGTTAATTTGATGGAATATGGAGTGACTCTGAAATTGCTTGAGGGCATTTAAATTAATGGAGCTTGATATACCTGTGGTAAACACTAAGAGATATCTATGATATCTGTCTCAATGAACATCCTTTATTTTATCTTGTCTGCCATTTTGATGAAGAGGGAGCCCAAATTCTTCCCCTGTATTAATTTTGCCGTAAAGCATTTTTCAGTACGGCTCGTTGAACTCAGCCCCGTCGCTACTTTCCAGAAAAGGCTTAATTTAAATTCCACACAAACTCATGCAAATCCTACGAAGATACCAGAATAGAAATTAAATCAATCCTGGAACTATCTACAAATCATGTGCAATCATTTTTTTTCCCTGTGAACCTTAGTAGAGATGATGTTTTATAAATCTAGCAGCACTTGCAATTGAATGTCTGAATGAGTTTTGTGGATGTTTTTTGTTTGATCCCATGTGAAACACAAAACACACATTGATACGTAAGATAAACTTTCTTTTAATTAGATTTTTCATTTAAAATGAACACATTTTTGTTTGAACAGTTCAAAATGTATGGGTGGGATCTGTAATACTTAAATAGGAATAATTGAAAACTGCAGTTGAGAGGACATCTGTATATAGGCATTGTGTACGCGTGTGCCCTTGGTGAAATGACAGGCAGACTTTACTGTATAGTTTTGATGAATGGTGTCCTTCACCAGCGAACAGGAAAAATATGTAAATATTTTAATTTACAGTTAATACTCGGTGGGGTTTGTAGGTAGGATTGTTGACCCTTGAGAGGAAAAAGACATCCAGGTTGGTGGCTTGACAGGGAAATAGAGTAATACTAGACTCCATCTTCAACAGTGCAGAATGAGCTGGGCTCCCACTGGCACTGTTTGATATAAAAATCTGTCTTAGTTCCCCACATTTCATTATTTCACCATTTTACAGCTGTATGCTTTTTTTACAGGGAGAGATCACAGAAGGGGGAAAAAGATGACACATGGAAAGGGATGAGATGAAGAAGAAAAGGAGGGAAATGAGGCGGTGAGCGCAGGGGCACAGTCTTAAAGAGGGAGGTGGTGGACAGAGACGAGGTGAAGATCAGACAGGATGGAGAGCGTGGAGGAGAAGTTTGAAGATGAATGAAATGAGGAGGAGAGTGAGGAGGAGGATCTGGTGAGAAGAGAAAGGAGATAGGGGTCAGAGAATGAAAAAGAAGTGAGAGACAAGAGGAAGGAAATGAAAGGGAAGGATGATGGACACTTGACATATATTTACTGAGCAGGAGGAGATGGAGGAAGAGGAGGCCGTGGAGGTGAATAGGAAGATGTCAAGGTTATGTAGATGTCATGAAAAACTATGGGGCAGACAGAGAATAAAGCTCTACAAGTAGCTGGAGGAAAGTCAGACCGAGGAAGAAGAGGAGATGAAAGCGGGAGCAGAGGGAGACGGAGCAGGGTGGCGTTAGCTAAGCAGAGAGGAAAAAGACGGAGGATGAGAACGAAGACAAGAGGCATGGAGAAAATGGGGGAGGACAAATAGAGAGGTGGCTGAGAAGGAAAAGTTCAACGCCTGTATAGCCAAGAGGAAGCCGGAAAATGCGAGTAAGAACAAGGCAGAGATGCTATCTGAAGTGTCAAGTCTGAAGCTGGCATCTGACACCCGCCACTGTTGCTATGGTTATGCTTTTATATAAGAGAATCGCATGCGATTTGCTTTCTCATGGAACTCGACTACTCAGCCCAGGCCCAGCTCTTGCAGAGCAGAGAGCGGACTGCGCGGATAAGGATAGGGGAGATGGCTGAGGCACGGGGGATGATGGGAAAGAGGCAGCGGCTGTCACAGTGATGGCTAGGGTGCCAGTGCAAAGGGCCCGGAAGCAGTGAAGTACAGCTCATTACTTACTGCAGCTGGCAATTAATGAAAGTGCAGTGTCATAAGCTCACTGTTTTAATAACTCTCATTATACTTTATTAGCCAGCGAGATTCCTATGTAATCTAATAATGACCTTCCGTATCATTATTAATATAAATTCTTAACAGAAACATTTAAATGTTTCTAGATTTTCCCGGACTGCTTTAATTGTAACAGTGATGTAGACATCCCGTAATTTAGATGACAAAGCTTGTAACATTAGTTCTGTCCCGGTTTCAGCCAATGAGCCGAGAGCGCAAATCAGAGAGCGGGAAGTCACAGATGGGGACAGAGCGGGGTGACGAAGAGGGAAAAGGGGGAGGCAGGAAGCTAAGGAGGATAGAGGAGAGGGGGGGACAGATAGCCAAACCCCTCAGGAAAAAGAGAATGTGGTTAAAAATAAAGTACGGTGAGGAGATTTGGAGGGAAGGAGATGGTAGCGGAAAAACGGCTGCATGAGGCAAATGAGAAAATGGAGGACAAAGCATGATGTGGAGACAGAGGAAAGGACAAAGGGGACCCGGCTTCACGGGGTTCCCGAAAAGGAAAGAATCTCACACTGGCCTGGCGAGAGGACAATCAACCGAGGTCCTAAAGGAAGGACACATAGATGGGATGAGGCATCATCTGCTAAAAGGCCATGAGACTGCATTTGTGTCTGATACACACCTTCCTAACGTTCTAGCCCTGAGTCAGCTAAAAAGCGCCTGACCTGGGCCTGTGCCTCACAGCCAGGAGAGGAACGGGGGAGGAACGAAAACAACCGAAATTCTGTCAGAGAAGTGAAGACAGACTAAGGCCATGAGACCGCAAACTGGTACGGATTGAGGCCTGATTTACCGACGGCTGTGAAGGCTGCAGTAATGTCTAATCCAGGCTGTCTCAGGGCAATGGGAATTCCGCAGAGAGCTGGAACGTGAATGTGAGGCAGACTGAGGTCACAGATGGGAAGAGATGGTGACTGTAACAGCGTGCTTCCCTGACGTGGTAGACAGGGGGGGCTTGTGAGCTATGCGGGCAGCAGAGCAGATGAAGGAGCTTATTGGGAGTGCCAGGGAACATCTCGGGGAAAATATTTACACACCATGGACTGCAGACAGACAAGAAGGAGGTGAAGAGGAAGCAGAGGCAAACTCATGCATATGTACCATGTTCCCAAAGTAATGTATAGCATTAATAAGTAACAAACCAGCTACAAATACAGTAATTACAATGCATTATTAATTCAACTAAATGTTTGAAATGAATTTCTGAGTAATTGCCATTGGAACATATTCAGGACACATATTCCAAAAACAGCTTTCATTGCCATACTGAATTCTGTGTTTACTTTAAAAACTCTTGCGTACAAAAATAATAATATTCACTGCCCAACTGCTATGTTCTCAAAGGACTGAACATAACTCTGTAAACAATCAATTAGCATCTTGGATACCAGGGCACTTTGTGTAATTGTAGCGTTAATTGAAATCCAAATAAGAAGCTTAAGATATGTTAACAGATTAGAAAGGGTTCATCCTGATGATACGGTACTGTAATACTGTTCTAAAAATGCTATTTTTGTCTGTACCTGACCTGTCAAGGCTTGTGATGGAGATGATAGGTCAAGTTCACACCTCATTGATCTATTTTGTAAAATGATGAGGAGAAGCACGTTTCAATCTTATTATAATATAAATATGCTGCTTTTAAAGTTATAATTAATGGATTATTGAAATTTATATATAACTATCTTTAAAATGTATTTCGATTAGCAGAAATGTAAATGCATTTATGTTAAGCATTTTGTCTACATGTTCAGCTTCATTCATAATGTCGGCTAGCAAAGCATGGAATATGTATCCCATCCACAGGTATTTCTAGTTAAGTACAAGGCTTACAAATAATGACGTTCCCTTCATCTAGGAGCAACAGGAAATGGGGCATCTTATATTTCTCATGTTCCTTAGTCATCCACTAGGTGTCAGTAGAGATCCAGCTAATTTTATCTGGCGTACGTCTTTGTATGTGGTCTGTTTTCAGTCTAGGTAATGCAATGTGGAATCCACACATGGTATTAATAAAACAATCATATAATAAAATGGCCATTCATATGTAAAGTTAAAATTGTGGCACTCACACCTACCTGTAGCCCGTCCAGATTTCTGGGAGAGATGGTGAGGCAGTGGTTTGTGTCACACACAGTTTACAATATTTATGGGTTGCTGCTGGGTAATGAGGTTTTGAAACATGAGACTTGATCTGTGTATAAGAAATGCTAGATTTCTGCCTAGCTATTGACACGAAATCAACAAGCAGCCCTTTCAACACCTTTTATCATAGCCATTGACATGCAGTGAAAGCCATGATGAAAGGATTCATCTGAGTCTTTGTCAGAAAAAATGAGCTCCTGAAATGAGAGAGAGAGAGAGAGATGGCAAAGTGTGAGGTAAGGTGGGCTTATTCTCAGAGGAAACGGGGTCGTCTTGGGTAGGGAGGGGAACCCGCGTGAGGTGGTGCTCGTCTTGTTAATGTCACCGCTGTGAAGCGTGTGGGGTGTGATCACGACTCATGCGTCTTCCCACTGAGCCTCTGCACCGGCCAGCCTCTTTCGGCCAGTCATCCCCAGATATCCAAAAAACAATGCGGATTTTAGTGGCGCTGAGAGTTGGCGAGGAGGACACTCACAGCTATTATTCTGGATTACCCCTTTTACCAACTCTTACATTACCTCCTATGAGTAGGGCAGAAACCCTGAGGTTTCACAGTACATTTAAAATGTGCCATTTTAATGCCAGACGCACATCCAAGCTACGAGAAAAGTTAAGCAAAGTGAAGCCACATGATCCGGAATGGGAAGAAAATCGGCGCCTTTAACGGAAATGACTTTCGCAATATGACACACATACTTTACTCTTTGTGTTGTCATTTCATTCTCGGGCAGACATTTCTGGCTTGCTAGATTTGTTATCGCAGTGCACATTTTTCCCCAACGATCTTAACATAATCCCAGGCCGAGCGAGTCACTTTGAGAAACACTGATCAGCTTCCTGACAGATTAGCGATGCCACAAGCTGAGAGGTTTTGCTCTAAAGCGCGTTTCCGCAGAAAGGCCGGGAACAGAAAGAACCCTGCATCTATGATAAGGTCTTACTGCTATTTTGGAGCTGTCTCTATGGAAAGAGATGCTAAAATGCAATAATATGCTGAAAGCCTTGTGTTTTGGACGGTGTGGTAGGGGGTAGGACCAGAGGAGCCCGCTCAACAGAAAATGGCACATTTCATTGTGTGATTTATGTCAATGGTTTTTTTTTCTTGCCAGGTAATAAAACCGATTTCAAGAATCTCTCACCTTGTGAACCATTGTTCTGTCTGGTGTTGTAAGCGTCTTTATATATGTGGGTCATTTCTTTTATTTGCAATCTTTTCCCTGAGAAAGGGCTTTGAGGTAAAGCTGGGGTATGCTTGCATAGACTGTGGCAGGGGTGAAAATCTGGTGCATATAATCTGGATTTATGGTGCAGGTTTAACAATCTGCGGTTAACATAAACAGGTGCCATAACTCTATGCTTTGTAACATTATGTACATGGACATTGGTTGTCTCTGCTATTTTTCATGGATCTAGGTTTTAGGTGAAGGGGATTTAGCAAAAACTATGTCTGTTAACCGGAAAGCCCTTGTGTCATGATATGATGAGAAGCAGGGCCACATCTGGGTGGTTGAGATGTCACACACTGTAACTCAGACGATGCTCCTTTCGAGATTTCAGATTTCTCATAGATGAAGACACACTGTTTTTTTTTTTTTTAAATAGCCGTTTGCTTTCTGTACCTCCAGGCAAATTGGTATCAAGAGCATCTCCCAGTTTTCCTCCTGTATGGATAATATCACATAGCGATTAAGCGTGTTCAGGATTGGTTAGACAAGCTGAAGTAATCTTCTGTGTTTTAATATAGATTTAAAGCAATTCTTTGCAGGAATTAGGTTAAGACTCTTGCCTTTCTTATAGCCTCTGTACATGGCTGTAGAAACCTCCACATTTTTTGATAGCTTACTTATAGAGGAGGATACTGAAGGCACTGATCCAGCCTGGAAAAACCACCCCTCTCTACAAATGAACTCTACCTATGAATATTGTTTGGTAGTGGGCACTATCACTTGTGCAAATTATCAGTGGATTGCAGTTTTTTTTTTAGCTAAATTGATGACTGAGGTGCAGAATATGATATTGAAAAAGAAAAGTGGCAATTGAACCGGGGTTAAGGGTTTGTTGTGGTCCCTGTCTGATGTACTCTGCTGGTTGTATTTGGCTAAACGTGACAGTGGAAAGATATTATAATAGTCCTTGTTTAGCAAGCTGCACTGGTCTGGATAAAAAGCAGACAATGCGTTTGCAAATCATTACCTCTCTCCAGTGGTACAAAAACTGCTATCCTGTCAATGCCAACTATTTCAAAGAAAAAAATATATATACATAAATTCTCTTGACCGGTACCTGTGTAAACATTAATGTGCTTTCTATCTGAAGTGCGTTGAAGGCTATATCTTGTGATACCATCTCCTCAAAGAATGATGGGTAAATTTAGCATTTCAGTCTGAGCTAAGGGTTGTTTTATTTAATCCATATACTGACTATATATTAATATACCTGAGGCAGAAGCAATTCGCGCTGTCTGTTTATTGTAGGTATCTGCCCAGATGGTGAAATCTCAAGCCCTGTCATATGAGCGTACAACTGAAACCCTACTGTTTTGAGGTGTTTTTAATTCAACAGCCATTGGATCTGATGTAAGCTGTGTGCGTTTGAAGAACCGTCTGCTTCCTTTTTTAACAGGCTAAAGGAGCATGTATTGTTAGCCTCTCAGTGCTTCTACAGCTGCCGAAATGTCACGGTGCTGAATGGAAGTACAATCCACTCACCGACAGACGTGGATGCCCCCCTGAAGATGTGACAGCTTGGGGTGGTCTTTCAACGCTCCGCTATTGATCCGCCGTGGATGTGTCTAGCTTCACAGCCACAAGTCCTTCCTCACAGGGAGCCTACAGCCGTCAGGTTTCTCCTAATCTCTGCCACTTGACGGTGACGGGATATTTCGGTTTTGCAGGGACGCCTGATGCTTTTTGGCAATTCTTTAACTGGAGCCTTGTTTAATTGCTGGTATTGCGTTCAGTTATATAACGATGCAATAGTTGGGTCTGCGTAAAGCAGGCGGGCAGCAGTACCGTGAAGAGGGCAGGGAGCACAGACAAAAGAATCATACAAAGACATCAAGACAAGCTCTGTGTGGGAAAACTATGCATAACAAAGCTGCGCTACAACACTAAATCCAATTTGATGTTGAATGACAAATATATCAAATTCACTCTACATTCTGAAGATGGTATTGACTTGGCGACTGAAATAAGTTTCTGTATATTTCTATTCTGTTTCTTTGTTCTTTATTTGCTCGAGAGCAGGCTCATCTGATGCAGAATTTCCTGCATACTTATTTTGTATGTAGTTAATATTTTAACTGTCAAACTAAATAATTTGCCATAGCTTTGTATTATGGTAGGAGAGCCTATACAAATAACAGGAAAGTACACACACACACGTTTGTATTCATATCTTTGTGGGGAACATCTATTCATGCACCCTAAACCCAGCCCTTAACTTAACTATAAGTAACCAAACAAAATTCAAGATTTTTGACATTTTTAGTCTTTAGTGCAGACACAGATTTTTTTATAAAATTGAGTTTCCTCTTGTAGGGGCTGAACATGTAGGGACATTTGGTTCCCACAATGTAATATATACATAAGTACCCCCCACTCCCACACACACAGTCCATGGTCTAATAACATGTTACAGATCCATATAATACATACAGTATATGTCACCTAAATGCTGGGGTCCTCATAAACATGTCTGTTTACGTGCCAGATCTATTCTAATGATATTTTATGCCAAAATGCTCCTTAGGATGGATGGGCAGACATTTGTGCCCAATAATTATGCATCAAAATTCATAATATTCAGAATATCCAGGGATCACAGACTCTGAGCATATTCATAGGAAGTGTTACCAAGCATATTATTGTGAGTGTTTGGTTTCTCGAGTCTCATTCTGTCTGTCCAATCTGTTTAATCTGGGGATGCGAAATCCCTGCTGCATTTTGGTCTCTGATATTTCCTCTCGCTTCCATTTCAGACAGTCCTTCCAGGCAACAAAGGATGGCAGTTATTTATTATTTATTACGTAATGTGGCATTTAATTAATATATTGTTGCGTCACCACTTTTATCCATCTTTCTTCCAATTGGTTATCTTGAGTTGGGCTGTAGGTTGTGGGGGGCAGCTGGGGCAGCACAGGACTCAAGGCAGGAGTGCAGTTTTATAAAGAAAATCCATCCATCCATCCATACATCCAACCATTCATCCAGGGTCACTAAGTAACAATATCATTATCAAATTATTAGCGTTTTCTTCTGCAAGTGAGATGCACCTTTCTTGTCTTCCTGTGCAATCTTGGCCTTGGTTGCCAACTTTCCCCCACTGCCCCTCCTGCTGAAATATCCATGCCGGCCACGTTTGGACCAAGGCCAGTTTGAATGGCGCTCTGTGGCATTCCTGCCTCCATCCCGTGCCACGCCCAGCATGGGGCAGACCACGCCAGTGATCCATGGATGGGTACCCTCTCGCTATCTTCCCACTGCAGAGCCGGAGAACGATCTTTCTGTATCGCTCCGAAAAAAAGGTCCGGGGTCAAATCCCAGCGCTCCTGTAGATGGTTGCCCTCTTCCTGTTGACCCGATCTTGTCATTCCTCTTGTGGCGATGGCTCTTTCTATGTCATCGTCTGGACTAACAGTTAACAGCCCCCGTGTACATTGTTCAGACCGGCTCTGGATCCCACTGCAGGCACCATCTGTTACAGAACCAGGTGGCCCCTGAGCCAAACGCTAAGGCCAGCAACGCAGGGGTCTAAGTTCTCCTTTTTATTTTACTTTCTCTCTGCGTGATTCTTTTTGTTTTTGGCAGCTACAAATGAATGAATAAAATCAGTAAAATACTTAGCAAAACATTCCCTGTGATGGACTTGCATCCCATCCAGGGGGCTCC